AAGCTGCATCAGTGCTGCTTTACTGCAAAGGGAACTGAGAGATTAGAGAAGGCAGGTTACTCCAAAGGACCCATTAGGTGTTCTGGACCTGGCAATGTGCCCCAACACCCCCTCGCCAGGCACAAGGCTCACCTGGCAGAAGCTGGGAGTATGGACAGCCGACAGCGCCCGGCGTAGGGTGTCTACATCGCTGAAGCCGGGTGGCAGGTGGTCAACACAGAGGCAGCGGGAGTGCAGCAGGGCGGGCGTCAGCTGCCCAGCATCCATCCAGTGCACGTAGAGGGTGCGTGGGCCCAGCGGCTTGCCCAGCAGATCTGACTTGGCGCGGGCAGCCGAGTCCTTCTTCATGTACTCGGCAAAGCCATAGCCCTTGGAGTGGCCAGTGTGCTCGCTGTAGACCAGGAAGCAGCGCTCCAGGCTGCCGAAGGGCCGCACCAGCTCCTCGAACTGCTGCTGCGTGAGGCTAGGGGGCAGGTTGGCCACGCACAGCAGGGCATCCGTGGGCTGCAGCTGCACTGACAGCTCCCGCTCCCGCAGGCGGCTCTGGTGGAAGGTGCTGATGGCTGCCTCGGCCTGCTCCCCGTTCAGAAGGGTCACAAAGGCTGCAGCGGCAGGATGGGTGTGAGGTCAGCAGGAGCCCCGAGGGCCTGCCCCTCCACCCCATGTGAGATCTCAGAATAAAGAACCACCAGGATATCTCAGGAACCAGCCGATCGGAACAGTAACCAGCCTTGATCAACTGGCACAGGTGAGCCTCAAGGGCTCTACGAGGCCAGCTCCCTGCTGTCCCCTGTGTCTACCTGCAATCCACAGCAGCACTCACTCACTGTGCACCCAGCTTTGTCCTAAGACCTACAAGTGAAACTCTGGTGATTCATAGGGTAGTGGTTAATTCCCAAACACTACATGGCTGTGGGGTCTCAGTTTCCTCATCTGTCATCTGGGAAGAGCTTAATCCTCATAACCACCGTTTTGACAGCGAGGAAACGGGCCCAGAGCAGCACCCTCTGCCCAAGTGGAGGAGCCAGAACTTGAAGCCCAGCAGTCTGGCTCCAGGGCCCCTCTCTGCATGCCTCCCTCACCGCCTTTCCAGGAAACCAATGCACCTCGGCCCTGCTGCCCCTGCCACTCCTGATTCGCAATCCACCCAGCAGCTGCAGGAAGCTTTGTTCAAAATGATAATCAGGTCGTGCCATGCCCCTGTCCAGTGACTTCTCATCACAGGGTCCACTGGAGCGTGCATGGCCCAGGCTCATGGCCTCCTCACCCATCTCTTGTAGCTGCTCCCTGCAACAAGCCAGGCACACACTGCCTGTGGCTTTTACAGCTGCCATTCCCCGAGTGTGGAACACTGAACCCCACCTATTCACTTGGTTAGCCCCAACCCTCTCTTCAGGTCTGAGTGCAAACAGCTCTTCCCCTGTGAAGCCTACCCCAACTGCTCCTGTTTTAGATCCCGGCTGTCTCACAGTGCCCAGTAGATTTTAGTCCCCAAGACCATTTCCCCTTCGCATCTGGAGTTGTTTGAATAACATCCTCTTCCCTGGACTAGACCGAATGTTTGGTTCACAGCTATATCCCTGGCACAAAGCAGCACATAGTAGGTGCTCAATAAATATTTGTTGAAAGACCGTTTGAACAGAAGTGTCACTCAATATCTGGATCCCTGATGCTCTAGGTGCTCAGTAAATAGCTGACTTGTTGACTGTCACTAAGCACCCAGCACTCACAGCCTTTTAGGTGCTTTTTTTTTTTCTGGTGGCTGGAACTGAATCCTCTATTAGGTATTTTGATGTCTTTGGTTCCATGGCCATGCCAAGCAGATAAGGTAGATGTTATGGTCATGCTCAATTTGCTAGTAAGAAAACTGAGCCTCAGGAAGGGTAAATAAATCAAGGCTGCAGAGTGAGGACAGGACAGACCAGGATTCTTTTTTTTTTTTTGGGCAGCTGGTTGGTAAGGGGATGCAGAGCCTTTGACCTTGGTGTTATAACACCACATTCTAACCAACTGAGCTAACCAGCCAGCAAGGGGCCCAAGATCTTAACCACTACAGTAGCCCACCAGGTGGGTCTCTAAGGGGCACCTGTCCTCAGCTCCTTCCCACCCATGTTACAGATTGCAAATGAGGCCCCGGGAGGTCTAACGCCTGGCACAATGCCTGGAGGTACAGACATCGACTGAGGGCCTCCTGCATTGGCGCCAAGGCTCACAAGACCTGTCCCTGTTCTCATGGAGCTGACCCTTCGGTGCAGGAAACAGATGGGCAAGCCAATGACGACAGCCCAGGGTGGTCAGTGCTATGACAGGGAGCTGCCTGACTCCACCTGGATGGACCTGGATGGCAGAGGGACAGCCCAGAACCTAAAGGGGGCCCAGGGAAATGGTGAAGCTGGGGCACATCCTTGTAGGTAGCATCAAAGGAGCCTCAGACAGGTTTGAGGAGAGAGAAGAATGGGTTAGGATCAGGTCTGAGCAGATTTGCAAAGGGATCGGGAGCTGGCTTTCTGGGAGGGGACGAGCAGGAGTGCGAAATCATGGAGGCAGAGAAAGGGAAGGGAGGCTGCCATTTAGACAGAGATAGAGGGGGCATGGCCCAGGTGGAAGCCAACGGAATGGAGGGGCACCGATTATTTTCGAGGGCTTGAAGAAGACCAGACAGGCCTGGGTGACTGACTGGCTGGTTTGGGGGAGGGAGGTGGGCAGAGGGTAAGCCCAATGCCAAAGCACTGGCTGAGCAGCCAGGAAGAGAACATCAAGGCTACCCCAAGATGGACGCCCAGGACAAGGGACAGTGCAACCTGCTGCACTGGCCTGGCGTGATATATTCCACCCAAAGTTCAGGAGAGAAGATGCTAGGCCAAGACCTTCCCATCTTCGGGGGCTGTCACCCCCTGCCCTGGTCCACCCCATCACCCCACAAACCTGTCCCTTTGTATTTGTCCACAAAACAGTACTTGAGTTCATAGTCGCTGAGCAGGTCATGCACTTCCTGTGGAGACAGAAGCCAAAGGACAGGGAGTCACCAGGAACTGAAGGGAGAAACTCAGTACCACCTTCATGTGGACCAGCTCTGAAGGCAGGTCAATTACCACCCCATTTAACAAATGGGGAAACTGAGGCTCAATGAAATTATTTGCCCAAGGCCATTGAGCCCATACCTGGCAGAGCTGGAATTCATGGCCTGGTTGCAGACCCTGTGCTATTAACCAACACAACACACTCTTAGACAGTATGCATTTAGAGAAGTCTTTTAAACTGTCTGAACCTCCGTTTGCAAAACTGTTTCCAACAACTCTCCAAGTTAAGTATTAACAAACCCATTTTGTACGTGAGGAATCTGAGGCTCAGAGAGGTGAACGGATCTGCCGAAGATCGTGCAGTCGGCCAGGGCAGCAGCAGGAAAGCCACCCAGGGGTACCTGACTAGGGAGTCCACGTTTTCATAAGCCCACATTGTGTGGCTTCATGTGCCTCCCAATTCCCTCCTGCTGACAGGACCACCCTCTCCAAATCAGCTTTGACTTGTGCCAGGCACGTTGTGCACTTTGCAGGAGGGACGTGTTCCCCAGCTGAGAGAGTGAGGAGACTCAGAGGAAGATCAGCTCCAGAAACAAACCAGACCATGCTTCGTGGCACCTGACCCAGGTCTGTTTCCCAAACCATGCCCCTCCCAACATTCCTGGGGCGCCACTAGCCTTGGGCCCAACCATGGGGGGTAGGGGGGGAGGCACCGTGGCAGGTGTGCTGGTGGACCAGAGAGCAAGAACTCTCAGGAGCAGGGAGAGAGAACCCATCCCACCGCCACTAGGCAGGGCGGTACAGGTGTCATTTCCCAGGGTCCAAAGAGCATTGGGAAGCCCTGCCCCATGTAGGCCCCAAGAGAAGGGCACTCCTGGTGGGAAGATTAGCCAAGGGGGCTCCAGAGAACGCAGCCCCTAGTCGCTTCCTGTAGATCTGGGAGCTGGGGGCAGGAGACCCCATTTTTCCAAATTAATCCTGGGACTTTTGGAGATGAGACCCCAGGGGCTGCTATAACTTCCGGATCTATCTCTGAGAAGAGTGAATAAACGCGTGATATGGAGGGGTGTACTCTAGCCCAAACCGAAACTTCTCGATATGAGGTCCTGCCACCCCGTGGTAGAGTGGGTGGGGAAAAGCACAATCCGGGTAGGGGCAACTGGCGTCCCTATGTCCACGCGCCCCAATCTAGCGACCCATTCACAACACCCCAACAGGGTAAAACTGCCCGCCCCCTTCCATTCCCCGCCCCTTTAAGTCATTTGGTCGCGCCCAAGCCTATGGTCGCCCCTAGCAACGTCCTCCCTCAGCCCAAAGTTGGTTTCTCCCTTCATCACGGCCCCCCCACATCCCCTTGTTGGTCTCTCCCGACCCCGCGTGGATCCCGCGCTTGGACGTCCCCGCCAACATCCCCCCTCGCACGCCGACGTTGGTGTCGCCCACTTCCCCCCGTGCACGGTGGTATTTCCCGCCACGCTCACACACCGCCCCCCCATACCTGGTTGGTAACGTCCCCCGGGAGGCCCCGGATCAGTATTTTGCGACGGTTACGGAACTGGCGCTCGGTATGTTCCAGGCGCTTCCGGATCTCTTCTGGATCTAGCTGCGGCAACTCTTCTTCGGGCGCCCGGCGCTCCGCGGCATCCCCGGCTTCAACCTCAGCCCCAGCCTCCGGGCTCAGTGGGGGCCGGTGAGTAACGGACACGTCGGCCGCCATCTTGGGAAACCCGGCGCCTTCTGGGACCAACGAGCCGGGGCGGAGCGGCATAGAGCGGCGAGGGCGCGCCTGCCTATTGGCCAAGAGCAGCTCCGCCTCCCTCCCGACCCCCTCAGCCCATTGGCTGAGGCCTAGACCTCCTGTCAGAGTTCAAGTCGCGTCTGGGAGCTATAAGCTCCTCCCCCTTCCGCCTCAGCGGTTCCATTCAATGCACGCGCAGCGCGGTTGTCGCAGGACGCGCGTGGAATCAAGCCACAGACAAGGGAGTCTAAAGGCTTTATTGATGCGGAACCCGGGGATACAGCCAAAACCCCAGTCCTCTTTGGCCCAGGATCCCAGGCGTCCCGCAGCTCCACCGCCTCGTTGGCCTGAATAGACATGAGGGGCAGCGAGGTACTCTCCTCTTTGGCTCAGGATCCCAGGCTTCTCGCAGCTGAGGACGGCTCTTCTCCCACCACCCCCTCGGATTGTACAGACGTGAGGGGCAGCGAGGTGCTCTCCTGTTTCACGTGGTAGATGCCGCTCCGCTTCGTCCAGAAGACGTACGTTAAGGCCCCTGTGACAACCACCACTCCCAGGATCACCAACACCCCCATCGCGAAGTTGACGGAGCGAGAGTTCCGATCTAGGTAGAGAAGCGCGAAGTAAACACACGCGTCCTGGCCCCGCGCTGGCTTACCCTGAACATCTGTCACCACGACCAGGGTGTACGTGCCCACGGGCCCGGCCACCCCCCCCCCCCCCCCCCCCCCA